ATTTCCCGATAATATGTCTTAGATTATATTTAAATGCTTAGTTTTATGATCAAAGCTCTGCAGTTTTTACTGTGGGCAGCAAAACATGTGATACAATGCAATACAATGATAATGAACAAATAACAAGTATTATATTTGATACTCACATTTGAACATGATTTTTCTAAAAAAAAAAAAATGTATGCATAATCAAGTAAACCTAAGTTGCTTCAGTCCTGTTCATCTTGAAATATTACAAACAAAATCTGCTTTATAAAAATCAGTAAAGATTTCACAGCAAAAAGACACATGAGCCACAGCCTGAAGGGAGACGTTGCTAAGTAGAAACTATCAAATCAGATGACAGAAAGCATGTAGTACATTCTGTACAAGTTTTTTCAGTGAATTTTTGATCATGTGTTTAATTTAGAAACCTTAAAAATTTGCATATCAAATATGATGCAGTAGTTTTTATCAGGTTAAGTAGGCAGTATACTAAACAAACAGCCTGATTTTTTAAATAACATCAGAAAGCACTAATCATGTACAAGTAAACAAGCCCTAAGTTTAGTGACTAAGAAAGCACAGAAATGGCCGTCACACATACTAAATGGATGGTCTGGTGTCTGAGGCTGTCTGAGAGCGGAGCGAGAGGGCCGAGACTCTCTCTCTCTCAACTTTGTGCCATCAGAAAGCGCGAGTGGGGCGAGACGGGTGATGGATCAGCAGGTGAGAGAATTTATCACTCATGACAGACACGAGAGAAAGTGAGGAGAGCTTATTTATGAGTTCGGATACAGGCTGAAATTGATATCCTTTACAGAGCTAAACGCCTTTAAAATGAGTAAACAAACCGAAGGGAAAAAAACGCAGAATAAACAGATATCCATCACTGATTTATGCTACAACAAAATGCTGTAGTAATAGGGTGTAATATCAATTTTTGGTGCACATGGCAAGGACACTCGTATACTGTATTCCACGGCATAAAAAGCAAGCTGTAATAATCCCATCAACTATAACTGAGGCGATATCAATATCACATAATCTTAGACTCTTTATATCAATTCGTGCAGCTCCAATTCAAGGTTCAGCATAAGGAATAAGGCAACGCACATCATGTTTTATTAAACGAGGATGTACAAACACCTCAAAAACAACACAAAACATTCCTGTCAAGGTGTGAAAAATACCCTTACATCCATTTCATCATCACCTTTACCTTAAAAAACCCAGACTCAAAGAGAAAATCCAATGTGTTCATGAATGAAACCTAACAGTTTGAGCGCACAAAGCCCAAATCTGCATTTTAAGTTGATTCCTAAAGCAGGCTTTACGCTACAAATTTGTGTTGCATCTTCACATGGGAGGTGATATGTGCTTTGTTCTGCTAGCTCTTGACGTGTGACGCGTCTGTGTGTGTTTGTGTGCGAGCAGACTGCCGCCCCGCTCTGGTTAGAATCAGACGTGAGGGCAGACAGGTTATCGCTTACTTGACATCAATAGATGTGCCACAGCAACCAGTGGACCACAAACCTCCCTCTGTCCTAATCCCCAAATCAGAGAGAGAGAGAGAGAATGGAGGGAAGGGTGCTGGGCGAGGAGGTGTCTGGAGACAGATTGGGGTTTGTGGTGTGCAGGTTTGAATGAATTTGTGGATTCTGGGGTGAGGAGACAGGAGGACGGCCTGTCAGTCTCTCCTGGATCATGAGTGCTGTGCTTGTTATTAAAGGGACAGTTCACCCAAAAAATAAATTCTGTCATCATTTACTCACACTCATTTCATTTCAAACCTGCATGACTTTCTTTCTTCTCTATGAAAAATGTCCATATTTTGGAAAATTTCCCAGGAATTTTTTGGTTCACGAAGGGGTCCAATGCTGTTTGGAGACCAACGTTCTTCAAAACATCTTTGACTGCATTTATTTTTTTTTTCATGTTCAGAATGACAGCGTGAGAAAGTGATGACAGAATTGTACTTAAAAATGGTCATATTTCTTGGGTGAATGATCCCTTTAAGAACTTTCAAATTAAGTTTTATATATATAAAAATATGAAAAATATATTTAAATATATCTTTAAAATATTAAAATATATCAATTTTATATATATATTAAAATTATATACTATATTATTTATTTATAATTTACCTTAATATATTATATATTATACTTAATAAAATATTTATAAAATACAAATTTCATACAAAGTAAAATTTTGAAGTAAAAAATTTTATATTCACAAATGTGTTATGTACAAATACATTTCAAAAAGCTTATTTAAGAACAATACTGGTTCACAAATCACATGCTATATGTACTAGTATAGTATGTTAAAAGTAGCTTGCTGAAGATGCCCAGATGGTAACCATGGATGATTTTTGTTTTTTTTTTTGGCTGGGAACCCCTTTGCACTGGGAAAGAAGAAGAGTTTATGACGTTTCCCTAGTGAAATAAACCGCTTTAAAAAGCCTAAGGTGTGTTTGCTGGCTGCCAAGCTGGTGGTTTGATGGTTTTAAAGGGGTTTTGAGAACATGAGTCAATGGGTCAGACTGGAAAACAAGCTAATATATCTTAAACAAGCAAATGCGAGACCAGCAAACAACCTTGGGCTGGTTCAGTGGGGTTAACATTCAATTTTTTTCAGATGGACAAAAACGAATGCCGAAGCATAAAGTACTACACTTTAAAATAATTAATTTAGCTAGACGACAACACTAACATGCAAATACAAAACAGAATAAACAGGGTTTGTCATTGCAAACAAACTTCAAGAGACCATTTGAATAGACAATTTTTTAAGTGCTACATTTTTAGTCCATTTGTTTTCTGGAAGTGAAAGACTTTACATTTAAAATATATACATTTACTAAATGTTTCAGTAGTTTTGTTATCTTATAGGAGCATACCAGCATGTAAATAACATGAACTAATAGTCATGGCAACAAAACTCCAATTAACCTTTTTAAACACTGTCCACTCAAATGCAAAAGTCTGTGTGGTTTATGTACTAACTGACGTATAAAGAATGTCTTTAATGTTTGTGTGTATGTTGGAAAGCAGGAGCACAACTCACTATCTGTGTGACTGGGGGCCCTTGTTTCTGTGTCTCATTTGCCAGTGGAGGCCGGCTTGTGT